TGACAGAGCCCAGCCCGCTCTCCTGAGAGCTCGTTCCTGGACAAAGCTCAAGACGCACCCCTAGCCCTCCCGCCAACCTTGAGCAGGGATGGACGCGCTTCAGTCCTGGGCCAGTAAACCACAGAGAAGGTGGTGTCACGTTCCCAGGCAGAGCCAAGAACAGCAAGCCTTTGCTTCCATTCCCTCCCATTGCAGGGTCTGAGCCCGCCCAATATCTTGCCATTTCTCCCCAGAACATGCCCCAGCTGTGCAGGCTGAAGAGGGCTGTGTCTCTGTGCTGCTTTCATGCCGAGTGACTGGCTCCTGCTTCCCTGGCCAGAACTCAAATCGGCTCCTGCCCAGGAGCAGCATCTGAGTGTGGGGAGGGACTTCCTTCTCTCTCCTCGCCCCCAGCGTTTGGAGAACAATATACTTCAAACCAATGGAAAGGAGGAAAGAGAGAAGATGGGGCAGGGAAGCAGGAAGGGAGAAGGCAAGCAAGCCACATCCTCTACTTGCCTGAACATCAAACTCTTGCAGGAGGCCGGTGATGGTCTGTGGAGAGACAAGAGAGGTTGTCAGTTTCATCAGTTTCCTTGGTTGGAGAAAGGATGTTGGGACACAGCCCTCTCCACGCCCTGAATCTGTATCTACCCTCCCTTCTCTGCGTGGCCTCCTAAATTCCTTACAAAGAAAGGCTTTCCTTTCCATCTCAAAGAACAGCAGTTCAGCAGAAAAGTAAACACATTAGCTGAATTCATTTTTTACAATAGCTTCAGTAAAGAAAGATCTGAAGGTCTAAAGTGACCACAAGCTTGAGAGATAACAGGACTGTCATTGGCTATTAACTGGTTTTCCTGTCTCCACCATGTCCATGTCATTGTCCTCCTTACATTTTTTCATGGCTGCTGTCATCTGGATACTGGATTAAAATGCAATTTCTCATGGGGGGGAAGAGGAAATTGGAGACCTCTAAACATTTCCCTCAATCGAAAAATTCTGAATTTCTGCCCAAATTCCATCTTTCTCCAGAGCTGTCAGTGGCAGGACAGGATCAGGAAGAGAGAGAAAGGGTCCTCGTCTCTTATGCAGTGGTGAACGTGTAGCTCACAGGATGAACTGGGGCTTAGGTGGCCATTTCCAAGAGATGCTGCTGGCATGTTTTCCTCCCAACCCAGAGATGGATTCCAAATACCCTCTAAACTCTGAACCCCAGACTAACCCACTGCCAACCACCAGGAAAGGAGACAGCTGAGCAGAGCAAAATGCAACAGAGGTGAGGGAAACAGAACGCAGCCCCTTAGGACAGCAGGGGCTGGAAGACCAGACGGTGTCAGAGCCCTGCTGCTGGGGGTTAAAATAGCTTCACACTTCCTGGGCTGTGGATAAGAACATCAGGGAATTGGTAGATTCAGGTGGAAGCAAAGGCGGCTGACATCTATGCCGTGTGAGAGAGAGAGAGAGAGAGAGAGAGAGAGAGAGAGAGAGAGAGAGAGAGAGAGAGTGTGTGTGTGTGTGTGTGTGTGTGTGTGTGTGTGTGTGTTCGTGCATGCGCACAGGCGCGCCCAAGTGTGTTTTGGTAGGAGGGAGTGGGGAAAGCCATTCTGTGTAAGCCCAAACTTCAAACTGTCAAGGAGTCTGCAGCAGCAGTCCAGATTGAGGATAGACATGACAAAGAACTTCCCAACAGCAAGCCTAATTTAAAAAAAAAAAAACATTTGCTGGGGCAATCTAGGGAATTGGAAGAAATGTATTTCCATCTAAACCTTGAAGAAAAAGGTAAATATCCTCTTAGAGATGGACTAGCATGTAACTTGGAGCTGACAAGCTCTTAAATTTTCTAAGGATATCAGTGGATTGCCTGAAATAAATAAATAACGTGTTTTAAAACGCATTTACCCTTGGACCTAGTGATGCCACTTCTGAGAATTTCACCAGTGGCCGCCCCTGCACACGTATGAAATGAGATACCAGCAGGACACACCAATGGTGCAAATACCCTGCAGCACTGTTTGTAACCACAGAAGGTTGCAAAGACACAAGTGTCCACATACTGGGCATAGTCAAGTAAATTTGGTGGTGCTATGAGGATACTTCAAAAAGTTCATGAAAAAACAGAATTGAATGATAATATGATTTTTTTTTCTTTTCCACGAACTTTTTTTTTTTAGTCCTTTTTTTTTTTTTGAGACCGGCCTCACCGTGCTCAGCCAGTGAGCGCACTGGTCATCCCTATATAGGATCCGAACCCGTGGCGGGAGCGCTGCTGCACTCCCAGCGCCACACTCTCCCGAGTGCACCACACTCTCCCGAGTGCGCCACGGGCTCGGCCCACCATGAACTTTTTGAAGAGCCCTCATATGTAGCTGGAAAGAAAAAAGCAAGTGCTCTATGGACTGCTGTTGGAAACATCTCCAAGAAATAAGTAAGGTATGAATAAAGCAAGGCATGGTATACTATTTTCATATGATTTTTAAAAAGGGGAGATAAAAAATGTTGATATGTATTCGTACTACCTAGGGGTTTTTGTTTGTTTGAGTGTTTTTTAAGACTGTACCATAGACCCAGAGTGAAAAGGAAATAGAAAAAAGGGGAGATAAAAAATGTTGATATGTATTCGTACTACCTAGGGGTTTTTTGTTTGTTTGAGTGTTTTTTAAGACTGTACCATAGACCCAGAGTGAAAAGGAAATAGATTTAGAGTATGCACAATGTACAGGAGGGGTTGGCTGACTATGAACCACTCCCTGTTTTTGTAAATAAGGTTATATTGGAACACAGCAAGCTCATTCACTTACACGTTGCCCATGGCTGCTTTCACGATATAATGGCAAAGAACAGAGATCATATGGCCTGCAAAGCCTAAGATATTTACTATCTGACCATTTACAGAAAAGGTTTGCAGATCCTTAGTGTAGTATAATAAGAATTCTGCAGCTTCCCCAGGCTTGGTTTCTAACCCGAGCTGTGCCAACCATCTGGATGAACTTGGGCAAATCCCTTCTTGTCTGAGACCAGTTTCTTTATGAGCCAAATGGGAGTAGACATAGTTGCCTCACACATTTATAATGAAAAGTCTAAGACATTATGAACCTAAAACAGCAGCCACATGTATAGTCAAAAGAAAATTAAATGAATAGTCTATTTACCAAAATCGGCCAGCCTGGGATTGATTCTACACCCCACACTTCGTTAACTATGTGACCAAGGACAAATTAACCTCTCTGAGACTCAGCTTCCTTTTCTGTAAAACGGGGACAATCACAGAGTCAAATACCTACACCGACCAGGTGAAATATGGTTAGCTGAGAGGCAGGCATGCAGAACGTGATCAACACACATTAACTATTATTTTTTAAAGCACTCAATTGGCCTAAGAGTAACTTCACTTTTGAGCCTGAGCTTCCACATTTAAAAAGGAAAAAAATATATATATATATCATAAGCAGTTACGAAGCTCCATGAGAATCAGGACATGAACATGCTTTAAAAACACAGTGTCAACAGTGCTAAGTAAAGCCGCATTTGTCATCAGAACAATCAGCCCAGGATGAGCCATGCCAGCCCAGGCTGCAGGGCTGTGGCCTTTGTTTCCAGCAGAAGGCCTCTACTGACCTCAGAGGTTTGACCAAAAAGATATCACTAACAACCACAAAAGCTGATATGCCTTGCCCATCTCCTCCATGGCAAAGTTCTTACTGCTCCATATGAATTAAAACAGAACATCCTCATGTGAATTAAAACTCCATCCTCACCCAGCCACATGACTTTAAGTTTTAGTATCACCATTTTACAGATGAGGAACTAGGAGAGAAAGAGGTTGAAGGATTTGCCAATGGACACAAAGTGGCAAAGTGTGTCACAGCCAGGATTTAAACACAGGCAGTGTGGCCCCAGAGGGTGTGGCTTTTGGTAAGCTCTGGGTAGGCAGACCCATGGGCAACTGGGCTCTATGTTGCATGTTCTAGAACCACAGGAAGTCAAAGATGGGGGGTGCTTAGAGAGCCTCTGGTTCAACGCTCTCACTTTCCAAATGAGAGTAGCGAGGTGTGGGCAGAAAGGATGACAGAGGTGGGCAAGGGGCCAGGCCAGCGATGCTGTAGCACGGAGAGGCCCAGCTGGGATTGATCCCATGCCTCCCACCCGTCTACATTAAAGGAAGCAGTGGGCATGTCTGTGCACATGTGCATGTGTGCATGCATGTTTTTGTGCATGCTGTGTTCATGTGCACATGTATGTGAATATGCCCGTGTGTGTGTGCATGCTGTGTACACATGTGTGCATATGTGCGTGTGTACATGTGCACATAGGATGGGGGATAGCCAGGAGCATCTCCACTCACCTCCCCTTTCTCCACCAAAGGCTTCACCTCGGCGAGGTCCACGTCTTGCAGCTCCCGAGACATGACCCTGCTGTCACCTGCCTGCAAGAAGACAAAGTCCAGGTCAGCACTTCCTGAAGGAAGCAAATCCGAGACTAAGGAGTGAAAAGGGCAAAAAAGGCTGGATCTTCTCTCTGCCCAGCAGCTGTCACCTCTCACACAGTGCATGACAGCCAACAAGGAGGCCCTTTGTACCTAGTGCCCCATGAGGTCAAAGGATGCCCACCATGTGCAGGCAAGGTATAGTCTTCATCTTCACCACTAACCTCAATAGAGGGGTGGCCACACACACACACACGTGCAGCCACCTCTGTGCAGGACCCTCAGCTACCTGCTGAAAGGGAAGAGGAACAGGGAACTGGGGAAACCTTAGGCCACGGGGTCTGACAGGCCCTGAATGTGCAGCAGCATTTTGGAAAAGAAACTTCAACACAAAAAGTACTTCATGAGCCAAAGCAGGGGGGTGGGCAAGCAGCCGTGGGCCAGAGGGGCTCCCCATTGGCTCTATTGTGGGACAGATGCAGAAGGACCAGGAGATGAGGGCTGCAAAACTAGACTGGAACAGAGTTTGGATGGGCTTGGAGCACTGTCATAATCAACTCCCTGGGGAAAAAGGCCTGGACAGGGCAGTGACATCTACTGAGCTTAATAGGGGAGCTGGAGGTATAAGAATTTATTCTTATGGGTCAACAGTTGAGTTGGGAAAATTAAATGCCCACCAGTACCTGGGATGAGGCACAAAAAACCTAGAAGAAAGTTAAGTGTTACAGGTAGCAGCAAAGGACAGGAGAGATGGAGTGACAAGAGGGAGGCGCCCAGGCCACCCACCTAGTGCACAGATCCGGATCTTCTCAACTGGAAAACTCAGTGAGAAACAACCTTCCAAGGCTCTCATGCTGTTGCCTTCCAGAGTGAAAGCCTGGGCCCCGAGGTGCCCAGGGCCCCTTGGATGTAATGGCAGACAGCATAAACCTCTGAAATTCCAGCCCAGGGCTCCTCAGAAGACCCAGCTCCCTGAACCCACAAGAACCTCGTGAACACCTCTTAGAGGTTGCCCCCGATCCACCCCCAGCCCCTGTGCCAACACATGGCATTCCGTGGGCAGAGTCCACCCTCCACCGGGATGCTCTGGTCTGGGGCCCTAGCACGGTTTTCCCCAGTAGATAACCAGCTCTACAAGAATGCCTTTATGCAGCTTTTGGACTCTATGCTCCAGAACATTCCAAAAACAAAGTCAGTTTTATATTTGTGAGCATTCCTGGGCAGCTGCCAGCTTGGAGGCAGGAAGCCTGAAAAGCCAGGGTCTGTTAGCTTTGCTAATTCAGCATATTTGTGGTCCCGAGACCCCGGGCCGTGGGACAACTCGCCTACACAGCTTAGGGAGCCTTCCAGAAACCAAGGGCCCTGGCAACACCACCCTCATCCTGACAGTGCAAGGACTTCACATTTCCGAGGGGCTTCTTAACATATTCTGCTCAGCAAAGAACCCAAGGGTGACGGTGGGGGTCTCCCACTATCCTCCTGGGTGGGCTCAAGCAGGCCTTATTCAGCCACACTGGTGAGCCCCTCCAGTGAGCCCCACCGGGCACCTGTGTCCTCTTCCCGCCCCTCTAGCTCCTAACACTTGTACCAGGTGCACGGTCAGGCGAGGCCATTTGCTGAACATATGTACAATGTAGCTTAACAGCAGTGCTTTTATTTAAATTCACGTTTAATTGTTGTTCAACCATGAGTGGAACACCTCGAAAACAATCTACATTTATATGGACTCGGCAGGTGCTGTAGTTCATCCCTCCTTGGTTTCCAGAAACTGCGATCACATTAGAATATAACGTTAGTCTCCATGGCCCCCCTCCTCCAACTTCAGAACAGAAAAGAGTTCAATTTCAGCCTGTGTGGTTTTCTAAACACGCACCAGGAGAAACCTCTTTACTACACCCCTATACCTGTTAATCTTCCTACACCTTAGCTTCCCAGACCACTCGTGGCAGTGGGTTGAAAAATGGCCGAGTCTCCTAGAAATGTCAAGTACTTCTACTTTTTGGATCTAGAGGGCTTCATCTGGCCTCGACCCGTCTGCATCCTGTGGGCCTCAGGGACATCCAGAAGTGAAGCTATTGAGGACCATCACAGTGTTTATGTAAACTAAACTAGGGATGATTTCATCTCCCAGGGGACATTCAGCAATGTCTAGGGACAGTTTTGATCGTATCCAAAACAATCGATCAACTGACTGTGAGCCATCCAGTAAGGTCCTAGGACTCTGAGGTCTGCAGGAGACTGGATAAAGCAGAGCAGACTTTGCATTTGTCTTTTGGGACAGTGGGACTGCAGGCCTGGGGGCAGCCTGCATGTTAGTGAATGTAAATATCATGGGGGGTGGGGTGAAGAGGCCCCCACCAGCAGGTCTGCCCTAATCAGTAGGTCACTGCCCTGCAATAACCAAGGCTACCCACACCCAGGGCTGCTGGTGCCCTCTGCCCCTCGAACCCAGCCAGCTGCTGGTCCAACATGTGGTCAGCCTGCGAGGGGCAGGGAGAGGGCAGCTGCTCTCACTTAATTCCCCTGCCATGGGCCAGTCAAAGACCTGCCCTGATCCCGTCTCTGATGCCTCAACCAAAGAACTTTTCAAACTATTTTTTCAGAAGCTTTTGTCCAGGGGAAATCTTATAAGGAAATTCGACATGTAAAAACAGATTTTAAAAAAAAGCTGAGGTGCTTTGGATGACTTCACACTCACACCATCTCTCCCTTTCTCTCTCTCTCTCTCACACACACACAGCCCATCCCTTTTTAGAGGTAGCGGCTGAGCCCCCAGGTTCTGAGGACTGTCCGGACTCGCATAAAAAAAAGCTGAGGTGCTTTGGATGACTTCACACTCACACCATCTCTCCCTTTCTCTCTCTCTCTCACACACACACGGCCCATCCCTTTTTAGAGGTAGCGGCTGAGCCCCCAGGTTCTGAGGACTGTCCGGACTCGCACAACCAGCTGCAGGGGGGTGGCCGGGACGGAGCTGTCACCGCTCACACGCTTACTTCTTCACCCAGCACACGCTGCCTCAGAACACTTTTTCTCTGGGATTCAGCCACCTCCCCAAGAGTATAAGGCTCACTTAGGGACACAGTTCCAACAGAGGACACTGCTTTACAGGCACATGTGATTCTTCCTTGCCAGGAAGAAGGGCGGTGAGAAGTGACCTGGTTTGGGAGCTCTGGACAGCGCCCCCACTCCTGGTTCCCTCAGTGGTGCCATCCCAGGGGTCGCCCCCAGCCGGCCCTAGGCCTGCTGGCTCAGCAGGTGCAGCAGGCCCCTTCTCTCTGGGCTGGAGGTCAGCACCAGACTACAGCCCCCATCTCTCTACTGCCTTGTGGAAAGTCATCATCACAGAATGACAGGACCAGAAAGGGCCACAGTGATCATTTAACAAATGGGGTGTCAGGACAAGGCCACACACAGCACAGCGGGTGGGGTCCCAGCAGTCTGACTCTCGGTCACCCTGCTCCTCCTGGGAAGATGGCTCAGGCCTGCCAACCCGTGTTTCTCAGACAAGAAACACAGATAGAAGCCCCTCCAGACAGGGAATGAGGTCAGGACAGGTCTCCTGCTATAACCCAGCTCAGCACCAGACACAGGGCTCTGATCACAACACCACCTGCCAGACTGCCTTGTGTCACCCCTTTTTCTTTCCAACCAGCATCAGAGAATGGAAAGGTGGCCAGGAGCTAGGAAGAAGGCTTGAGGTCAGCCTCGAGCGTGGCCATGTGTTAGCTCTGTGATCCTAAACATGCTATCTAACCACTTTGCCTCAGCTTACTTATCTGTAAAACGGGCTAGATAACTCCTGCTCCCAGCAAGCAGCAGCAGGGCTTAAATTAAACAAAGGCACATAGAATCAGGCAGATAGCTGCTTAATTAATCAGTGTACTTTCCTTTCCTGGTTGCATCGGGACATGAGGGAGGACACTGCCTGTGTTTTACACACTGTCAGTTGCAAAGTGGCCCAGCACAGATGGGGACACATAGAAGCTGTTCAGCAAATGCCCTGTGAATTTCCAGCTATTGGACCCAATGTACCCCGGGGTCTCCTCTCATTAGCACATGAGTCAATGAGTAATGAAGGCCCAAGAGGGGCTGGGCAAACACCTTCTTATTCAACAGACCCAGGAGACAGTCAGCCATCAGTTGGAACTCATGAGTTCCAGGGGAAGCCAAGGCCAGGATCTGCCCAAGGAAGAAAAGACCATGACCCAGGGCCTGGGAAGGCAGAAAGCAGAGGCATCCTGGGCAATCCGAGACCACATGAGAATCATTAACCAGCCACTGGGGCACTGGGGGGGACACATAGAGCCTATGGTTCCCCAAAAGCCTCAGTGGTCTGCAGAGGCTTAGGTATCCAGGGCATGGAATCCTGCCACCTTCTTGCTACATGGCTTTGAGCAAGGCATTGCCTCTCTGGGCCTCAGTTTCTCTATCTGTAAAGTATGCACAGTGTCTGTCCTATGGCTGTCACATGGTCTAAAACAAATGGGACAAATGGGAACATGGGCTGGAAAGAGCTTCACAAAGACAAAAGGGCTGTGCTCACAGGGGTCTTCCCAGGGCCCTGCCGAGCACAGCTCCAGCCAGATTAGCCATGCAACTTGGAGCAAGTCCCTCTTTTTCTCCTAGCCTAGAGCCCTGTTTGTTAGGGTGGGGAGCCTCCCTCCGACTCTGCCACTCCCCTCACTCGGGCCATCTAGAAGGACCCACTTGCACACCCTCTTGGGCAAACTCTCCTAGTCCCCAGAATTCCCATGGCATGGGCTGCAGGGCCATCCAGCAGAAAAACACCCATGTTCTGGAAGCTCCAGGACCTACCTGCCCCAGGAAGGGCAGCCACAGGTAGGTAACAATAAAACCCTACACAGATGCACCACAATAACAAAAAGAACTTCTATGGTGCTAACTGGGCTCTAAACTCAGTACTTTCTCTGAGCTTCACAGCAACCCTAGAGGGTAGGCACCACCATGTTCACTTAATGGATGGGGAAACTGAGGCA